TTTGCCTTAAAAGAACTGCAAGAGCAAGATACAATTTATTCTTAGAATCTACAATTATAGAATTAGAAGCAAAGTGCTTATAGAGTGCTCCTATATACTAGCTATGTACACGTGATCGTGCACGTGCGCAAGCACGCACGTGAGTGATCGCAGCTGCAATTGGGTGCGATCCGTAACAGTAAGAAGCTAAGACTATCAACAAATCTTATCTTATAAATAGCTTTATTCCTGTAGTAGAGATAGCTGAAATTATCCTTCAATAGCTAAACCAAATCCTTTAAGCCAATTTCAACCGGAATACTATAAGGCAGCCCAATCTCCCCAATCCTTTTCCTTATATATATCAAGGATCTCTTCCTATTCAATTTAGTAAAGTTTCTTTCTTATATAAATGATATTACTCTAATCATTAATTCATTCATTTAGAAAAAGAATATTAAATCTTTAGAAAAAGCTACAAAACAAATCTACAAATTCAGCTTGAAAAATTCTATTCAATTTGATCTAGCGAAAACTGAGCTAATATACTTTTCATCATCAAAACTAACGAAAAACTACCCAATCATGCTATCCAATTCCGAACAATCATATCTCAATCCCTAATTAGATGGTTGGGAATATGGTTTGATCCAAATCTCAAATTCAATTAATATGTTAATATTCAAATCATACAAGCCAAAGGAGCCTTTCATCGAATGGCCCGATTAGCTAATATCGAAAAGAGCCTTAGTCCTAAAGCCCTCAGACAACTATATATAGTATATGTAACTAGTATAGCTAACTATAATTCAGTGATTTGTTGAAAAGATCAAACTCATTTCAAGAATATAATACAATCACTTCAAAATCTAGCCCTTCACAAGATATTAGAAGTATTCAAAACAGCTTCAATTATTCTAATAGAAATAGAAGCCAATCTAAAACCTTCCAAAATCTGATTAGATTCAAATATCAGATAATACGCTTTCCGATTAGTCAAGTTATCATTAAAGTATCTAATCAATATCGAAAAAGAAATTTCAGCTCAATATTAAGCCGATTTAGGAGTAATCCCTATATTTTGAAGAAAACAATATAAATCTATTCAACTGGATAGAATCAGAGAATCGATAAACCAGAACTTCAACCCTTCCTTACTTAAAAAGATTATTTACTTTAACTTTCTTTTATAAAAAAGAGATATTCCCTTCAAAATTAACATTAGTAATTTGTCAAAAGAAGATACTGTTATTCTTCATAATATTATCTTCAAATATAGGGATAAGAATACCATCTATATTTACACTGATACCTCCTCTACTGGAAAGGGAATTGGCATCGAAATAGGCATAATGACTATATAGTCAAATAATCGAATTCTATATCAAGAGCAAAACAATATTGGTATTAATCAATTGGTATATAATAAAAAGCTCTTTGGAATTATAAAAGCTATCGAATATACTAATTCCATTATTTATAATAATCAAAAGTTCAAGATCTATTCAAATAATCAAACTGGTCTATATTGTTTAAAAACTCCTTCAGATCATCCAGAACAAGCCTACCAAATAAAAGCAATCAAAGCAGCAAAGATTATCAAAGCAAAAGGAGCCGAAATCTCACTAAATTGGGTTTTTGGCCATATCTCAATTGAAGGAAATAAGCTAGTAGATAAACTAGTCAAGGAAGTAACTACAATATAATCCATTTTGAACAAAACAAGCTTTGAATTATTAGATATAATTATTAAGGAATATACTTCAGATCAATAACTTAATATTCTCAATCAATACGAATTCAGATCAAATCAATTCCCATCAACTTACTTGAAACTATTTCCTTGGAAATAGGCTCGAAATCAAGCTACCAAGCAGAACCAATTGAAATATTGTTAGTGTATTCTTTCAACTCAAATTAGGTTATGGATATATCAAATCCTATTTATATTGCTTCAAACTTTCCAATAACAAATGTATATGTAATAATATCGAGGCACTACAACACCTCCTTATTAGCTGCTCCATATATAAAACTGAAAGAAAAGAAATCTTTAAGAAGATATCTTTATCCAAAATTATTATATAATTCCTATTTCACATTAAAATTGATATCGAGTTAGCCATTAAATTCATTAACATTACTAAAATAGCTATAAGGGTATGGCATCTGGCTAGAGTTCTGATATAAAACGAAACAGGAGAAAGAGAGGTAGTAGAAGAAGGAGAAGATATAATAATAAAGGGAAAAAGAGTTATTGTAGAAATAGAAGAAATAATAGTTGAAGAAGAAAAAGAAAAAAGAAGGAGTTTCTTGCTAATTTCTTAAATATTATACTTCCCTTTCCTTATTATATGCAATACATATAATAAGCAGACACTAATCCCTAATATTTGTTTTCACTTCCCTAAATCGAATATATCCATTTTTGTAGAATAAAAAGTTACCTGCTAGAGCCTCTAGAGACCTAGCCGTCCTATATAGTCTTAGACTGAACGTGGACGTAAATGAAATCAATCAATCAATCAATCCACTAAATGCAGCACGTTGCCCTGTTCTCCATATTGCTTCAAGGGAAGTCTCTACAAAGAAGAAAACTCGAAATTGGTGTTAGCATCTATATATACCCTAAACACCAATATTTCAATTTCTATCTCTAGCCTATCACTCAAATTCCCTCTCCAATTTCCAGTGAATCCTCGAAACTTACAAGAAAAACACATGAAGATACGCATACAACGATACTCATATAGGAGCACAGATTCCAGTTATATCTACCTCTAGCCTTGATTTCCCACCTTCTCTTCTCTCTTCAAATTCTAGTATAAAACTCCTTCGCTTTTCTTCTTTTCATCTCCTCAAAACCCGTGGACCCTCTTGACCTTTTGGTTAGCCATGGCCAGGAAAATTCATATCCCATCGATTATTTGCTTCTTAGGTCATCTCTGTCTTGCTATTGCGCAAAGAATTATAATAGGAAGCTCTAAACTAGTAGACCAAAGATTTCCAAACTCAGTACATCGGATTACCATTGCTAGAATAGCTATTATATTATCATCATCATCTCTTCTTCACTGTCCCCAACACTCCCTTGTTATCGAAACTCTTACTTTATCCATTCCCCAATACCCAAACCCATCCAATCCATCTCCTCCCCTCTCTCCCATCTCTCTTACCCCTCTCACTCACAATCCATCACATCCATCTCCCCCGTATCGCACAGAAATACATCTATCCCACACAACATAGCTATAAACCCACATACAAGAATACCTACAAGGAAAAAAAAAAAAAGAACATAGAGCAGTAAATGCGAAATTTACACCCCTCACACTATTCATTCCCACTCAAGACCTCTAATCTCAACATCTCCTCTTCAACTTTCCAGAAGCAACTCATCACATCCCTTTCCCTTAAATCATCCAGAAATCAAGGAAACTCCTAGATAAATTGGAGAATCATATTACTCGGGATATGAATTCTTATTAAGCATAATTGACTGGATGGGTGTCTATCCATTCAGCCATCCATCAAATCCGCATTTCACCCCTTCCATCCCTTCCAACTCCCCACTCCACCCCTTTCTAGAAAGCCTCCCACTCATGAAACTCCATTCATATATCTATAAGAAATAGGCCAGAATCAACATCATGGCTTATTAGCATATCACACTCACAACCCAGTATATTCAATCCATCCATCCATCCATCCATCCATCCATCTCCAATTTCAGGAGTCCACTTCCTATTCATCCCATCAAGTCCATAAGATTACTACATCCATCCCATAGATTATCATCATTGTTGTTATTAGAACCCCGTTTAAGTATTATCATCACAGCCATAGCTTTCGCCATCATTGTCATTCTCTACTCAACTACCTACTACCTACCATCCATCCCCCTTCTTCAAATCATCCCATCAACAACACCCTTCAGCTCAATACAAACGAAATAAATATCCTCGTCAGAAACAACACTACACTACACAACAGCCCGGAGTCCGCAGCCACCTTTGTTCGTTATGTATTCGCCTCATCTCCTCTGATACAAAAGAAATCTCGAGATGTGAGATACCTTTATATAACCCCCTCTCGTATCCACTATCTTTGACCCTTCCTCTCTAGTTTTAGTGTTCGTTTTCGATACCTACATTCACTTTCCATTTTATGTATTCTATTTACCCTCCTCTTTTCCACTTCTTATCATATCCATACCCCAATCCCCTACTCTCTCCCCCTACTCCCCTACCACTCGATCCCCATTCCCATCCCCATCCCCATCCCTATAACGCCCCATCCCATCCCCATCTCCTCCCCTCTACATCTCCAAATTCCAAAGCACTCATACCTTCTCAAAGCTAATGTAAGGAGCAATCGAGATTCGAAAACGATGCCATGCGATATCCCCAGACCGATTTCCATGAGCATTACCCATTAACCCACACCAAGTTTAACTCTCACTCTCACTCTCACTCTCACTCTCACTCTCACTCTCACTCTCACTCTCACTCTCACTCTCACTCTCACTCTCACTCTCACTCTCACTCTCACTCTCACTCTCACTCTCACTCTCACTCTCACTCTCACTCTCACTCTCAATCCTCTTATCCTTCTTCTCTCCTTCTCCTCTTCACTCTCCCTTCCTTCTCCCTTCCATTTATTCTCCCTCCCATCTATTCTTCCACTCTCCCTCAACCTTTTGTCACCCCCCCCCCCACAAAAACACCACTTCCTCTCCCCTCTTCCCTCCACCATTAAGCAACTTCTCCTTTTTCCCCTCCACCCTTCCCCAGCCTCCAACATCTATTTAAACTCAGCCTATAATATCAACTGTGTATATCCATACACATGCACACTCGCGTACGCATTCCTCAAATGTACACCACACACTTGATAACTTACTTATATTTGCACTTTACTCGGGTCCAGTCAAATTAGTCACTTTGACATTCAACTCTTGCAACCACAAACATACTCATATCATGGCATATTATCACAACACGCAAGGGATCAGCACATAATTAGTTTATAAACCCTCATATTCTTTGAACACCTCTCAAACTACCATCCATCCATCTTCACATTCTATGTATTGAATTCGCATCGCAAAATAATCAAAGGAAACTTTTCGGCACATGAAAATCAAATGAGATAAGACTTTGAAGACAACAAGATCAAAAGGAGGAACAGGGAAAAATTGCTTAGGTAATAAAGTACAGCGGCGACTAGTTTGTCTTTTCTTTTTTATGGCAAACTATCGTTGCAAGTTGCTCCAACACCATAGCAATGGATGTCTGTAACAACTTCAACCTTGTCGCTTTTCAACCACGGCGACCGACCCCAGAGGCGCTCATTTCGCATTATCATCAACCACCATCACAATCAACCCCCCCTTGACTCCATTCTACATACATTTACTTGAATGCCTTTCCGAACATCAAGACTTGCATTTGATCGTAGATGGACAAGACACCAGCACCTGCAACACCACGGAGAATGTTGGCACCAGCACCCTTGAAGAGAGACTTAACTCCCTCCTTGGCAACGATTTGACGACCAGCATCCAAGGAAGACTTGTACTTAACGGCCTCACCAGAAGTCATCATCATACGACGACGGATGGTGTCCAATGGGTAAGAAGCGATACCGGCACCAGTGGTGACAGTCCATCCGAGCAAGAAGGATGCAAGGAAGTTACCCTCAAGAGGTCCAACGAGGAGGACTGGCTTGATGGAATCGTACATACCGAAGTAAAGACCACGGTAAACGACGATACCAGCAACGGAAGGACCGAAACCACGGTAGAGACCGGCAATACCATCGGAAGCGAGGGTCTTCTTGTAAACATCGACCAAACCGTTGAATTGACGGTCACCACCGGTCTTGGCGTTCTTGTTGTCGTTGGCAAGACGGGTACGGGCGTAATCGAGGGAGTAGACGAAGAGGAGGGAAGTGGCACCAGCAGCCTTTTTGATTAAATTAGTATGTGTATAATGAAAGGAATTCAAATGATAGACTTACACCACCGGAAGCCAAGTTACCGGCCATCCACTTAGCATATCCATCACGGTCCTTCTTGAAGTTGAACATCGACTTGTAGGTATCACGGAAAGCGAAGTTCAAGGCTTGTGTAGGGAAGTAACGGATAACGTTGGCAGTGTTACCTCTCCATAAGGAGGCAACACCTTCTTGTGCGGTGGTACGCTTGAAGCACTCAATGATACCATCGTATTTACGGTCAAGACGACCAGTCTTCAACATCTCATCCTATAAAACGATTGTATTAGTCAACGTAGATTCCAAGGTGGGATGGATTTCTTTTCGGGGTAATGATTTTCCATATTTTCAGATACCCGAAGTGGAAATTGTGCACACTACTTCAATCTGCACATGTGCATGTGCAAATTGTTGTATCCGAAAGAATAGATTGAAAAGAAATGTTCGATATAAACATACCTGGTTTTGGATCAAGAGCTTGACACGCTCGATGGGAGCAGCGGCGGTCTTGGAGACGGCGGCGGAGACACCACCCACTATCGCACAAATCAGTATTGTGAAAATTATGTCAAAACCCCTCCGAATTCCATTATCATTTCAAAATCCATCGGGAAAGATTGTAAATTTTGTCGATTTCGGAGCGAGGGGAGATAAACGTACTCAAGAAGTCAATGACGAAAGGTGGACTATGGAAAGATTGTCAGTATCATGATTGACTTGAACAGATTTGTTTGTGGGAACTCGGGGCCAAAATGGAATATTTGCTTGATCAGGAATGCCATTGAACAACAACGATAACTTTAGGAGTTATTGATGTGGGATAACAAAGATCTGGATAATATTCGAGATATTCCAATTGATCTCTTTCTTGTTTCATCTCTCGATTCCATGTTGATGTAGTTGTTGATATGGCATTCCGAAAAATCAATCAAAATTCCATCCATGGTCGAGCTCTTTCACAAGGAAAACGAGAATCCAGAATTGGTAAGGAAAAGAGATATAACTTACACGCCCATGACGGACTCCTTCTTTGGTGGTAAGTTGCTCATATTGACGGTATTGATGATCGAAAGATCGAAAAAGGATTGAGAGGAGATGGGATTAAGGTGGTTGAAGTTGGAAAAACAAGAAGAAGAATGGGAAGAAGAAGTAGTATTTTTGGCCCCAGGAAAAGATTTTATGTTAACAAGTGTGAAGATGGACAGCTTCCGAAATTACCCACAGAGACAGTGCGCTAAGTGGGAACTAATGACGAAAAGGGTTTAGTGGCTGAGCCGGGCGCGAGGAATTTTTTTATCCTTAACTTCTCTATCCGCTGCCCGCACTCCCGCACTTTGTAGAGTCTACTACGAAAGAGAGATAAAGAGAGAAGAGATAGACATTCATCCAGATTGAGGTCCTTTTTGACTGGATGGCGGCAAAGAATTGATACGTTCGGATAGATTTGGAAAAGGGAAAAATAATTACAGAAAATATTAATGTTTATCATATTAAAAGTATTAATTTGATACGTGAGCATCTATCTTTAATTCTTTTATAACTATTGACATCTAATACCTTATAATTATTCTATTGTGAATTTCTTCATGTTAATAGGTCAATTCATTTATGTGTGGTTTTCCTCTCTATCATCTACTCGTATCTATCTTATTGTTCTTTTCTTCTCTCTTTCGCTTCTGTCTTCACTCTCATCCCCATACAAAATCCCATTCCTTCACTCGCCTACAAACTTCTCACCCTATCTTTTCCGAGGTGCTGGTCTTGTAGCTTCGATAACTTTTCAGGACCAAGGGTTCTGGCTACTAGGTATACAATATCAACAAGCTACCTCCTTTGATACCATACCATTATCACGATCGGAAATTTATCAATTGCATCGAGAGTAAAGATTCTTCTATAAAACATGTCCCCGTTTCAAATCTTCCATTTTGTCTCCATTTCTTTTTTTTCCCGTTCACTATAGGAGAAATTCCTTGTTTTTCAAGTATTTAGTGTACTTGATTGGTGTTTGATACTGCAATGTCATGCTTTGGTGGGTATGTTGATTTTTGGCGAGTCAATCAGTAAGCATAGAAAAGTGGTGGTGCTAGTTGTGATGAGGTATTTGCATACGAAGAAATAGACAACCACCATGATTGAGAAAGCGCCGTATAAGATAAGTAGGTTGGGCTTGGGAATATGATGAGGCTGCTCAATGAAATAGATCTGGTACGGTTGAGATTCACTCAATGAACTCAATCGTCATATTGATGAACCGAAAAGAGGATGCGGTCTACCCAACGGAACTCTTTCTCTATTTTTCATAATTACCATGAGATGGAGCATACATATATTGCAAGCTATAAGTATAGGAAGAAGTTTGGATTGGCTTCTGAGAAAGCTCCAGTCTCGAATCAACACTAATAGAATCACACAGTTCATCGAAAATACGCTCCGCTGGCACTCCCGAGGACTTCGGGGTTGGTGGGCGGAGGAGGGAGTGGAAGACTATCTAATTCTTTAGGTCATCATCAGAAGACTTCCGACCATGATAAATTATAGGATCTGGAGGCTTGCTTTGATGATTATGATTCATCATCTCGCAAAGACGCTCCGCTGGCCCTCCGGGGGCCATTGCCGTGGAGGCAGACTAATCGGAAGTTGATATCAAGCTGTGTTGATATATATGCATTCGTTGAGAGAACAAACTTGATGATGTTAGCTGTCCAGAAAAGTTCTGAGTAATCCGAGAAGGGACTCGTCTCCAAGGTTATCTTCAAGCACACGACCATGACAACGGTGGAATCGGTCAGTGGTGTTTTACGGAGTTTGAGCTAAAGAGTATCATCAACTAACAGAAAGGATCTACAATCACATCCATCTCCTCTAGAGCGAAGCGAAGAAGCCTCCACGGCAGTGGCCCAGCGGAGCGTCATGTTCTTCCTTATTGATATAGATAGGCAATACGGCTTCAAATGCTCATGATAATCAACAGATCGGAGTCAAGAGTAAGGATTTGAAGTACTGCTATTGTACCAAAATGATGAGGGTTATAGACAAGAGAACCAATCAAAATTCAAGCATTGAAATATCAAATAGATAATCTCTCTCTTTACACAACTTTCGAATGTCTACCATACCAATCATTCATGCTCTTCGCTCTGTACATGAATTTTCATCCCATCTTTCTTCAGACCTCTACCTACGAGTAGGTACGAATATTGACTATGTATTAGTCAGCTTCAGCTCCAGATCACCAGATTCCATCTTTCGTTGTTGTTCTCCGGGTAACCACACTAACCAGGATAAGCATTAGTAAGTGAAGTAAACAATCCAAACTCGGACCACAATTTACAATAATATCTCCATAAACTTAATATCAGAGTTTGTACAATTCTTTTTCAAGACATCATACCGACTGATAGATTCCTGGTTATACAATCAAATCCATTCAACTTGATTCTGACTCAAATCCAATCATGGATTCACCTAAAAAACTGACAGAGAATTGTCCTCCTGGATCTCCACTAAATCAAATATCTCCTGAACGTGCCAATCAACAAAAACAATGGGATTTACCGACATCTCCTACCGCTACAGAGAAGGGTTCGAAATCGAGTAAACATTCAAGAGATAGTTCAGTCAACGAGAAGATTGCCCAGTTCAATTCTTTGGCTTATCAAGGGAAGCAGTTGGAAAGAAAAGCAAATGATGCGGCTTTGAAGCGCGCCATGGTTGGGAGAGAGGAGGCGGAGAGTGAAATGCGCAGATATAGGGATGAGGCTAGGATATTAAGGAGGCAAGTCGAGGAAGGAAAAGAACGGGAAAGAAAGGTTGGAGAAAGACTTGAAAGTGTCATGGTATGTTATCGATATGCGCGTCATTCCGATCATCTGCTCACCTCTTATCTTGTTAGGAAAACTATGGTCGAGCCAAGGAAACACATTCACATACACAAGCATTATGGGAGAAGGAAATTCGAAGAGCTCGAAAAGAAGGTTTCAAATCACAATCAGTCGTTGTCAAATTACAAGAAGAACTCAAATCTTCAAGGGATACATTAAGGATGGTTCAAGGTGGTTTGGAACAAGAAAAAGCACGAAGTGTGAAGAGGGAACAAGAAGCATTCACAGCAAAATATCAACTTGTGGAAGCGCAGGAAAAGTTGACAAGATTACAAGAGAAGATTCAGTTGGTTGAACAGGAGAGGGATGCATTTAAGACGATCGCTAAGAATGAAGAAATCGCCAGAATTGCAGCAGAAGGACATATACCATTACCACAATCCACCAAGGACGAATTCCCATCGCCAAAGAATGATCGAAAATCCATAGATGCTATGGCATTGGCATCTGGCGCTGGACAAGAAGAACTTGATGAACTTAGACGCAAATTGGATTGGGAAATTCAAAGAGCAAACCGAGCCCTTGATCAAGTCGAATTTTTGGAGATGGAATCTAGCATCCATACATGCGAACCAAAATCCAACAAAAGAAAGTCAACCGATACACAAGAACATCGTGAAGAGTCGACAAGACAATCCAAAACTCAAAGAACAAGTACAGTTTTTGTACCTTCTGAAGGTATTTTCAAATCAGTACCTGAGGAATCGGCAGCAGAACCAGTTGAGAATACATCCTTGGACACCAAAATGCATTTTGAGCAAACATCTGGAAGTTCTGCTCATCAACGAAGAGACGTAACTCCTTCTCACGATCCACCAGCTGCGGCTCTTATTTCCGATACCAATACTTCTTTACTCTCTATCTTTGATGAGCCAATCAGTCCAAAAGTCACCAGATCACTTCAAAGCCCGATCAATCTCCCTGAGAACGAAGTCAAAGACGAAACGAATCCTGAAGATCTAAGTGGTTCCACTTCAACCACAATTCATCACCCCCAAACCCATGAACATGACCACGAACATCACCACGAACGTCACCATGAACCTGCTTTCCACACAGTGTCAACCACAACCCGTATTCCACTTGCTTCTCCCTCGGAAGAACAAACAACCGAATTTGCACCAAGTACCCCGAAATCCCTCACTCTCCCAAATGGTAGAATCGATCCAGCTTTGACAGCAACAGTGTCAAGAGAAGAAGCCTTGGCTATGATTAGAGAAAGAAGAGGGAGAGCTAGAAGTTTGGCAGAAGGCAAGATGACTCCGAGAAAGCAAATGGTAGAGGGTGGATCGAGGAGAGATATAAGTGCACCAGCTACTACTGGAACACCAGTTAGGGGAAGAAGTCAAGGAAGGTCTTAGTGGGTCAAGGGGTATGAGTGGGAGAGTTGAGATGTTTGTATTCTGGTGGAATGACTAGGGCTTGGGCTGTGAAGGGGTTTAATTTTTCTGGTAATACTTAGGGATGGAATGGGTGGACAGTACATTGTGAAGCAAGGAGCAAGGGAGTTGGTTAAAATAGTTATATATCCGTCCGTCCATTTAGCACCGGAGTTCTTGTCTTTTATCTTTGGAAAGGAGAGGGCTCGGTATGTGCTGGTTGGATTCTGGGTGGGTTTATGACTTATGAATGGTTTGGGTTGGGTCACTCTCTGAGAATATTAGTTCTATTTCTTTTGTTAGGTGGCTTTTTTTGTGGTTGGTGGAGAGGTTGAGGGGAGGTGGGCTGGGTTGCATGATGATCAGGATGGAAAGGGGTTTTTGTGAGGTGCAGATATCAGGGTTGCAGAGTAGAGTATTGTGTGGTACATTGTGAGTGTGGGAGTGAGTATCCCACAGTAAATAAGTAAATAAATGGATCGTATATCATGAATTTCCTCTCTTCTTGTATCTCTGAGGTTTTGTTATAGCTTTTCTTACAGCTTTTCTTACAGCTTTTCCTCCTTCGGGATATAGAATCTGTTTACTTTGTATGCTTTTTCCTCATGTGTATGTAAGGAATTGGAAGTTTCAAGGCTTCTTTTTACTATATTGTCTGTCGCTCGGTAGGTATAGTTTGTTTCTTGCTGATTGGGATGGGGATGGGGATGGGGATTGTGGTGTGTAGGTATTGTGTATTGCTGATGATGATGATGATGATGATGATGATGCAGGTGATGTGGGTGG